ATGGGATGGTATGGGATGGAATAAGGACTTATGACGACAATAAAATACTACCTCATTCTTCACAAATTCTAATTGATATATTTACTGTTCAGTTACTTGTAGCTTAATGATGTTGTTGAAGCAAATACTACTTTTTTGTCGGTATCAGTATACTTATAGCATTTTTTGCATTAATTACAATAGATATTCATGTCAATTCTGTATTATATTTCACATCCATTCAATACTTTTTAGTGCTCATCTGACAGTTGAGAGCATTTTATTTTGATTTTGGAGGACCATGCTGTAAGATTTTAGTTCTTCAATTTTCATTCGATATCATCTTTGTCAACCTGGTTGGGGTAACTAAGATTTTGTTGAAACTAGAGGTGGAAAAAATGGGCCGGGTTAGGCGGGCCAACCCTAACCCGGCCCGTAAAAAAGAGGGCTCAAACCGGCCCGCCATTAGAGCCCAACCCGCCAGCAACCCTCGGGCGGGCCGGGTTTCACAATGGTAACCCAGCGGCCCGCCGGGTTGCTAATTTGTCCTCTTTGCAAGAGGCCCGCAACCCGACGGGTTGCTGGCGGGTTGGCATAGCCAACCCGCGGGTTAGCTGTTGCCAACGGCCAACCCGCCGGGTCGGCCCAAAAAAAAAAAAATAATAATTGTAAATCTTTTTTATTTTTTTCAATTACACTTTTACCCTTGAAATATAGCCGTTTTATAGCCGTTGGAGGGGTCTTTTTCGTCATTTTCTTTCCCTATTTTTTTCTATTAATTGGCCCTAAACTCTCATATTTTTCTCACAACTCAAATTCTCTCATTTTCTCATATTCTCTATTCTAAATTTCTAATCTCTATTCTCTCAACTCTCAAGTCTCAATTATTCATTTATTCTCTTAATATTTTTGTTATCAATTTGCTCTTATTTTAATTTTTATTAGGTTTTGCAATTTTCAATTCATATTTCCAATTTCCATATTCCAAATCTCTTTCTTTAATTTTTATTTCTTCTACATCATTTTTTTTTTCAACTACAAGTCTACAATGGATAGATATTTCTCTCCCATCAATTTCAATGAGGAAGAAAACTATTATCCTAGTCCTAGTCCCGCTGATTTTACTATGAATGCAGGAGATTCAAATAGTCCCGCTGTCCCAATCCCAGCTCAGAATCCGATCACCTCAAATATGCCGTCGATTCCAACAGTGCCCGGTGGTTCTAGAGGTCGTCCTCGTAATCGTCGTCCTCGTCCAACTTCATCCCAAGCTGAGGCGGGATCATCAACTACCGTCAAAGCGAAAACAGACACACATCAACATTTGGGTGCATTTCGACAAGTTTTACGAGACAGAAAATGGCGTTCAAGTCAAGAAAGCAAGATGCAATATTGTGCAAATGTTTATAAAGCTGATTCAGGTAATGGTACAGTACTTTAAAAAGGCATGCTAATAAACATATTAATCAACATGAAAATAGAGAAAGCAATCAAACTCAAATAACAATATGGGTATACTTGGCGTTATAATTCTGATGTATATAGGGAACAGTTAGCTTTATATATTGCTGCATCTGTCAACCTATTAATATGGCAGAAGATAAATATTTTGAAAGATTTGTTCAAAATTCATTTTTTCCAGTTTAAAAGTTATTCTAAAACTGCAACTAGAAATGATTTAATAAAATTGTTTAAAAAATGAATTAGAATTAAAAAATAAATTTCATACTTGTCATATTAGTGTGCTTTACTGCTGATATTGGAGTGGTAGAGCTAAACAAGATTATATTGTGTGACTAGTCATTATTTTGATAATGAATTTAAATTAATAAATCTTTATTAGGATTTATAATGGATGTGAATCATAGTGGTTTAGAAATCTATAATAAATTATTGGTTTTAGAAGATTATGATATTATTGATAAAGTGATAAGTTTAACTTTAGATAATGCAATTTCTAATAGTAAAGCATAGAATTTTTTCAAAATAATTATCTTTTATATAATATTGAAGTTTTTTCACCAACGTTGTGCATGTCATGTTATTAATTTAATTGTGAAAAGTGGTATGAAAAAAAAACATAAAAAAATTGAAGAATTAGGGAATCTTTAGCTTGGATTACTAGTAGTAATAAAAGAAATGCTGAATTTCAAGAGCTTGTTAAAATCAAATATGTCTCCTAGAACTTTTGCATTAGATATGCCTGTTAGATGGAATAGATACTTTTAATGCTTGATTCATGTTTACCTTATGCAATATAATTAGTTATTTGTAGCAAATAATAGAGGTCCTCATCATTTGGTAGAAAATGATTGGAAGATACTAAAGTATTTCATTCTTTTCTCAAATGTTTTTACCAGCCACTTTATAACTTTCTGGTGGTATTATCCACTAGTCCATTGGTAATACATGCATTAAAAAAATTTCCGAGTTATTTACAAAAACAAAGATGATGAAATTTTACATGCACCATAAAGGCAATGGAAAAAAAATTTTGAAATATTAGAAACCCTTCCTTTTCTTTATTGTTTAGGTGCTATATTTGATCCTAGAATTAAATTAGCACGTTTAGAAAATGTCTTGACAATTTAAGTGAAAATTTACAAAACGAATCATATGTCATCAAAATAGAGGTAAAAAATAGTCTTTTCGAAGTATATTTCCAATATGAAACAGGTATGGGAACCCGCAGTCGCAAAGAGCGAAATATCCGAGAAGCTGTAGCAGAAGAAACAAATGAAGACTTATTCTCTTGGAATGCACTGAATAGCCGAAGAAGACCCGAGTCCGAAGCACAGCCTCCTCTTCAGAAGCACCACCAACAACAACAACACAACTAAATGCTGTCCTCCATGGAGTGGCAGAGTAATGAACTTCCATATTTGAACCCCCCAATGTTTTCAACAGGTCACTTGATCTCTTAGAGTATTGGAGAGCCAGAAAATGTATTTTTCCGGTATTACAAGACTGCCTTGGATGTTTTTGCTGTTCCTGTCTCAACCGTCTCATCCGAACAAACATTTAGTGCAAGTGGAAGGATTTTAAAATGAAAGGAGGACTAAACTTGTTCCAAAAATGATTGAAGTCCTCACATGTCTTCGAGATTGGGAACGATCGCGCCACAAGATCAATACGAGTTATCGACAATGCTTTAGTAGAACATTTCAATTTTGTAATATAGATGATACAGATGAGGGAGGTCCTAGTGAACCACCCCCAATTAGTTGTTTTGTAAAATGTTTTGTAAATTAATTGTCAATTATTCGACTCTTTTTTCTTTACCAAGTTTTTCTCCCATTGGGTTTTTCTTGGTGAGGTTTTTAACGGCAATAATTGTTGTAATTTCTTATTTTTTTTTTTTGATAAATATAGTCTAATTTTTCTATATTACAATTTTATTGTATTAAAATTGAATTATATTTGAAATGTTAACAAAAAAAAAAAAAAAATTGAATTGAATTGAATTATTGATATTTGAAAAGTTAACTAAAAACAATATTTATAATTATTTATTTGAAAAGTTAAATTAAAAAACACAAAAACACAAAAAAAAAAAAAAATCGGGCTAACCCGGCCCGGACCGTGCCTAACCCGGCGGGTTAGGGCTGGCGGGCCGGGCTGGGCCAGCCACTCTCCCTAAATTGGCGGGCCTAACCCGGCCCGCCTTTGTGGCGGGCGGTTGAGCCCAGCCCGCCAAAGCATGTAACCCGCCGCGGGCCGGGGCCGCGGGTTACTTTTCCACCTTTAGTTGAAACTTAGTTGAGTTGCAAATTCAATAGAACTTCATAAAATTGATTTTTTGTGGCTAGTTGCATTGCATATACTTATGCCTCTTGCACATCATCTCTGGCTCTTTGAAAGTAGAGAAAGATGAGAAAGGCTGAAAATTGCAGAACTTGACAAACTGTTCTTTATCTTAGCTGAAACTCATCTTAAAATATATTCAACTTCAGCTGTTTGATTGATTACTTACTTGCCATGTTAATCTGAATTTTAGAGATTGGTTAATTATTTCAGGCAATAGCAAGTGATTAAACACCTATGGTGTGGGAAATTCTCTCTCTCTCTCTCTCCTCTCTCTCTCTCTCTCTCTCTATATAATATATATATATATATATATATATAATATATTATAAATATATATATATATATATAGAGAGAGAGAGAGAGAGAGAGAAGAGAGAGAGAGATATATATATATATATTAAACTGTAATAAAACATACATTAGTTTATCTTTTCTAGAAAATGATAGGATAAATGTATCGCATCTTGAATAGTCACATTATTCTATCAAAAGAGTAAATGAGGTTATAGATTCTGTATAAGAACCAAAAGAGGTAACACCTAAATTAACGTGATTCTTTTGTTTGTAATTGTTGTATAGTTCCCCATTTAACAATTCGTGATTATGTGATTCTTTTGTTTGCAATTTTATTGTGTAATAGGTAGATAAAGATTAAAAACAGACAATGTCAACATCTGGCTCTTGGTCTTCTTCACAATCTAGTAGAGGTAGGACTGATATAACATGGACACATGTTATTGAGGGTGTAGATCCAAATGGAAGGAAGACATTAAAATGTCTTCATTGTGGGAAAGTAACTAGAGGAGGAGGTATTTTTAGAATGAAACAGCATCTAGCTAGAACAAAAGGGAATGTTGGTGCTTGTTTAAAAGTTCCTTTTGATGTTCAATACTTGATGAGAGAATCACTAAAAGACATTGGGATAAAGAATAAAGAGAAGGCTGATTCTAGTAAGTATAATACTCTCTACGGTGCTCCTGTATATAGATTTGAGGGAGATATGTTAAACGAAGATAGTGAAGAGTTTCGTCCATCAGAAATTCACATAAATGAAAGTAGGTTTGGTAGTCAAAAATAAAGTACAATGCTACACAAATCAAAAAGAAAAAAAACCTATTGGTCTTGGTGACTATTTTGCTCCAAGGACAACTGTTGGATCTCAACCATCAATTAGGAGTTGTTTAGTTGGAAGAGATGCGACGTGGAGAGCAGACATGGCTTTTGTAAGATTCTTTTACGATGCTTGCATCCCAGTTAATGGTGTAAATTCAATTTATCTTCAGCCTTTGGTGGATACTATAGCTGCAATTAGGCCTGGGTATAAACACCCAAATTATCATGGTTTGCGTGTCAATTTGTTAAGAGATGCTAAGAAGGAAGTGCAGCTTCTCGTTGATAGTTACAAAAAGATTTGGGAAAATGTTGGATGTACCTTAATGGCTGATGGTTGGACTGATAATCCACATAGGTCATTGATAAATTTTATGGTGTATTGTCCTAAGGGAGTTTGTTTTGTGAAATCAGTTGATGCTTCAGATGTTGTGAAGGATGATAGGACGTTGTTGAAGATGTTTGAGGAGATAGCTTTATGGATTGGACCAAATAGTATTGTCCATTTTGTCTCAAACAATGGATCCAATTATAAAGCTGCTGGAAGAATGTTGTCTGAGAAATATCCGAGTATTACTTGGTCGCCCTATGCAGCACATAGCATAAATTTGGTGTTAAAAGACATAGCGGAGATGGATCACATAGTTTATCTTGCGAGACGTGCTTCCGAGGTGACGAAGTTTGTATATAATCATACATTCTTAATAGCTTGGTTGAGGAAAAGTCAGGTAATATACATTTAGCTCATGTTCTTGTCATTTTGTCAAGTCATAACATAATATGCATTTTTTTTTAATTGATTAACACCTATTATTTATCAATTGAACAGGGTTGGAAAGAAATTGTTCGTCCGGGCGCAACCCATTTTGCTACAACTTTCATTGCAATGAGAAGCCTTCATGAGCACAAACATGACTTTCAAGCCATGGTGACAGATAAGTTATTTGTTGATTCTCGATATGCAAAAAGTAATAAAGGCAAACAGGCTATTGACATAATTCTAGATAACGATTTTTGGAATGATATGGGTAAGATATCCAAACTTGTGAGTCCATTGATGCACTTGTTGTGGATTGTTGACTCAGATGAGAAGCCTGCAATAGGATATGTGTATGATGGCATGTACAGAGCAAAAAATGCAATTAAGAAGTTGTTTAAGAATAAAAAGAGATTGTGCAGGCCTTATACACGAATCATTAAGCTACGATGGGATAGGACGTTGCGTCGTGATATCCATGCTGCGGCTTATTATTTGAATCTTGCCTTTAAATATGACAAATAATCTTTTTGCGCCAAGCCAGAAGTCATGAGTGGTTTCCTTGATACTATTGACAGTAAAGTAAGTGCGTTCAATTTGAACAAGTCAAGGTTAATGGAAGAGAGTATAGTATAGTCAAACCGGGAGGAAAGCTTTTCTCGTGGGCTTGCTCTTGAAACCTCCAAAACCACACATCTTGGTACGTAATAGTTATAAAATTTACGAGTTCTTTTATTTTTTAAGTCTAATTTATTTATTATGTTTAATTTTCAATTAGATGAATGGTGGAGATCATTTGGGTATAGTACTCCAAATTTGCAAAAGTTTGCAATCAAAATTCTTAGCCAAACTTCAAGCTCCTCGGGATGTGAATGAAATTGGAGTGGTTTTTAGCGCATACATACTAAAAAGAGGAATAGATTGGAGCATCAAAGGTTGAATGATCTTGTTTTTGTTCACTATAACTTGCGTTTGCAAAACAGGTATAAAACATTGTCAATTACTCAATTATGCATTACTCTTATTGTTATTATCTATTATTTTCCTTGATATTTTACTTGTCATGCTTTTAATATTTCATTATGGTGTTTTAGGAGGTGTTACAAGAGAATAAGTTTCAATCCTATTGATTATGAAAGTATTGACAAAACTGAAAGTTGGATAGTTGACGATGAAGAGGAGGTCAATGAACTTAATTATGAGGAGTTGGAACAAATGTTATATGAAGTAGGATCTATTCCTGCTGGAGTTGCTAATCACCCTTCTTTTATGATTCAACCGATGGTTCAGAAGGTTGGTTTCAAATATTTAAGCAACTTAGTATCTATTTTAAATTAAATTACAAGTTTTAACTTATGATTTCTATTTTTTACTGAAATTTACATAGATGATGGTGATGGTTATGATGATGATGGTGATGAATTTTGATGCTAGTGTGTGAAGTTTAATCAACAATGGAGACGGATCAAAGAAAAACACTTGCACCAAATGTTTTGTTATTAATTATTATGTATTTTGTCACTTAATATTTAATGGATGAACACAATATCATGTTTTGGATTTGGACTTTAAATTGTTGTTAAATACTTAAATTATGTTGGGATTGTTATTGAATGTGAACTTTGAATCATATTGGGTAATAATGAAGTTGTTATTATCTTATTAAAAAAATGGAAAAAAAAAAAAAAAAACAAGTTTTTCATGTGCTGATGTGATGACATCACCGGTCCAACCGGTGGTCCAATCGATTGGATCGGTTAACCCGTGAACCAGAGAGCAGAGCGGGTTGCCCTCTGGTCCATATTTTAAAACAATGAGTAATTGTAGAGCTGCAAAACAAATAATGAAGAGACCGACTCCAATCTTTATATGTTTTTGTTTAGATTTTTTAACACACTTATATAATCGTTATTAATGCACATCTAATGTGTCAAAATAGTTAGACTTTTGAAATGCTAATACAATGCACATATATAATTATTATTAATACTCGTTCAACATGTAAAGATAAAAGCAATTCATTCAAAGTCAATGTATCAAGAAAGTGTAATTGATAGTCAATAACCTGTCAACTCTAATTTGGTTAGTCTCTCTTGATGTATGCCTCATAATTGAAAGAAACTAACCAAATTAGTCGTTAACTTGGACATCCACTTTGTCAAATGTATATTACCATTTAACTCTAGCAATTTGCAAATAAGTAGATGATAAGCCATTAGTTGCAATTTCTAATGAATTTTGTAGTGAATCAATGATTCATAGAACTCAAAAAACTTGGAAGAAATATATCTGAAGTGTTTTGGCTTTAACTTACATTTTCTTACGATTTATTGTCGCATTATCAGTTCCCGAACTTTCATACATCAATAGTATCAATCATAATCAGTCCCATTCTTTTTCATATTTTTATATTAAAATCCAAGTTTTAAGATGAACTGAGCAACAATAATCTAACAGCTGTAGACTGTAGTTTATCATGAAGGCTTACGATGGCGATTGGAAAGAAATATGATCTACTTATTCTATTATGACATTCTTTTAAGTTTTCACTTTTATTATTTTTAAAAATTTACTTTTAGTGGGACTTAAAAAAGAATTTGATTAGGTTTATATAACGACACTCTGATTTGCATCTGCTTAATGTTTGAATAGAAGCTCAGGCTTGATTGTTCCTTTGTTGTTTAATGGTAACAATGTTTTAACATGTAAAATTACGAAAAAATGGTTTTGGCTTGAAGTGCTTTGCTTTCCAGTTTATACTTCATATTTTCCTCCCATATGGTTCTATTTTTGTCTTGTTATCTTTTTAATAAAAGTATTTTCTCTTGATATGAGTAAATTTGGTCAAATTTAGCTGAAAAAAATAATAAAACAAAAAGAAATCACAACCATAAACAACAACAGTAATTCTCGTTAAAAAGTTGGAGACAGTTATTAATGATGAAGGTAGGCTCAAAGTAAAATAGATTTGACCAAGATGATTCATGTGCATAAGAAATTTACATCTAAAAAAGTTGAATCCATATGACAAACATACCATGAAAATATATAGAATGAATAGAAAATAAATAAACGGAGTACTTAATTAAAATAAAACAAAGAGTAATACTATACCAACAACCCTTTCTCATAAACTTTCTCTTACAACTCTAATGTAAAAACTCAATTAATTAATAGGACCCATGTGAGACATGTTGTGAACTGAACAACTGCAAGTTGCACTCAAGGATTGTGGGTGTAATATTTTTCTAAAACAAATACACATACCACTTACCAGTATAATTCTTTTGCACATTAACAGTCTCCAAGGAAGATTCATGTGCAGTACCATTTTGAGAAAGCTTTGGTGCTGCCGGCTTCTCCCTCACATCAAGGAATGTCTCTACATTTTCGAACAGTTGCCTCCAAAGAACACCATGCACTCAACCAAGAAGCTGCTTCTTCAATAATCCAAAAGCCAAATCCAACCTCTAGCTGCTCCATTGCTTTTACATTGTACATGAACAAACCATAATAAAGATCAAAGCTATCCCCAGCTGCCTTCTGCACCAATTTCAACAAAGTCTCATAGCCTTTAGTGTTAATTGGTGTCGACTCTAACCCCAACTTCTCCAAAATTCTTCCAATTGTCTACTCGTTAGTCAACCACTTTGCAAACCCAATTTAGCAGTTAGCTGCCAAATGCAAGATGTCATGAGAAGAACAGGCTGAGTAAATCTATCTTGATAGATAATTTCATTTAATTAAAAAAGAAAAATGGCCCACCAGTCATAACTGATATACTGTGTGAGAAAACTTCCAAAGACAATTTAGATTGCTATCAACTATTGGTGGGCAAGACTATCAAAATGGAAGTAAAATGGAACTGTGTAACAATAACCAACACAATCAAAAACCTTTTAGAACCAACCAATTCTGCTGTTATTCAGGGTGCATTTCGTTTTTCATTTAGTCGACACTATCACATACATATATTTAAATAAAAAAGTCCCAAAATTAAATGAACCCTGATGGATTCTCCACAATTATTATTGCTACATAGTCCAATCTATGAGTATAGAAATACAGCATTCCGTGTTCTGCAGTTTTCCTGTAAAACTTTCATTCTAATATATCAGAGGAAAGAGCAAGATAAACACCCAGCAATCATATAATCTCACGAAGGAGAGAATTGTAACCCATAGTTAGGTTGTCCAACTCTCTCTGGTAGTTCTTCTCTATGTTTAGCACCCTGCTCAGATAATAATATGATGAGATACAAAGTATACTACCAGACTACCATATATAACAGGAAAAAAGAGTAGAAGTCTAAGTAAAAGTAACAAAAAGCATTGGTGCAAATTTTATACCAGATTTGTTAAATCGTTTCACATATGGTGCAAACCATTGAAGCAACATTAATAATCCATTTTACATAACATAAAAAATTGACATAACATTAGTGAAGCCACTTCAAAGTATAAAAGCTTAATTACCTCAGCGGCATAAGCACGATGATTAAAGCAACAATTGCTCCCATAACCACACAACCCTGTCCTTAGGTAAAATAGACAATTTGGCTCACCCGGGCAATCTGGGTATGGGCTTTGATTGAGCCACCCCACCCCCTTCTTGATTATCATGAATTTTTGATAGGACCTGTCCTGCAAATCAGATAATAATACCAAGCAACAATCCACACTCACACGCAGAATCACAGTTTAATGAGAGGACCCTGTTATATTAATTCTCAATAGAACAATACAGCCCTATGTAAATAGCTAATAGTCACTCCCTAGCAATATTCAATAACAAACAACAAACAACTCAGCAAAAGTAGTATAAGTACACCAGAAAATGATAAGCAACAGACTGACTTCGAGGGTCAGCCACCTCCCAAAATACTGACTTCGAGGGTCAGTAACCTCCCTTCCAATTTACTTCCTAATTCTCCTCCCCCTCCATTTTCTCTCCTCTTCTTTTTATTCTGTTCTGTCACCTGTCTGTTCCAACTGAATCCCACCACATCCCCTCATATCATGCCACCTGTTCCACAAATATTCCCTTCATAACAAATCCCAACTTCCTAATATTCCCCTACTTCCTACCACTACCCTTCCTGTGGTACACCAGCCTTGTTGGGTGCTCATCATTACCCTCCCCAAGGAGAGTCACCTTGTCCTCAAGGTGAAATGTAGGAAATTGGTGGTGAATAGTGTCAAAATCTTCCCATGTGTTTTCATAGAAAGGTAACCCCTTCCATTGAATCAACACTTCCCACTGGCCATTCAGAAGTTTCCTCTTCTTGATAACTGCTTCAGGTTCGAGTTGTAACGTTAAATCCTCGTTAAGAGCTGCCGGAAGATGCTGGCTGTTGGCAACTGGGAACATGGCTTTCTTCAGCTGTGAAACATGGAAGACATTATGAATGCGGGGTGAAAGAGGCAGTGCCAACCTTTATGCTACCGCTCCAATCCTGTCCGTGATGACAAAAGGACCATAAAACCGCGGGCTCAGTTTCTCATTATAGCGACGGGCTAAGGATCGTAATCGATACGGTTGTAACTTCAAGTATACCGAATCTCCTATCTCAAATGTCACCTCTCGACGATGGCGATCAGCATATATTTTCATGCGGTTTTGAGCCTTGAGAAGATTTGTCTTTAACTCCTCAATGATATGGTTTCGGTGCTGAAGTTGTTGGTCAACATCGGCAACTGGAGAAGTATGATCCGCATACCGTAATACTGTTGGAGGTTCACGACCATAGAGAGCCTTAAAGAGACACATTCACGTGGAGCTATGATAGGTGGTATTGAACCAAAATTCTGCCCATGGCACCCATTTGGGCCACTGCTGTGGGTGGCTATTGACGAAGCACCGGAGGTAAGTCTCTAAGCAACGGTTGACCACTTCGGTTTGACCATCCGTTTGCGGATGGTAGGTTGAACTCATGTGCAACTGTGTTCCGAACTGTTTAAATAATTCAGCCCAAAAATTACTCATGAAAACCCTATCTCGGTCGGATACAATAGTTCTCGGAAATCCATGCAACCTAACCACCTCTCAGATAAACAGGTCTGCTACCGACTTGGCTGTATATGGGTGTTTAAGAGTGACAAAATGGTTGTACTTGATGAACCGGTCGACTATGACCAGAATAGTGTCGACCCCATGCGCTTTGGGTAGCCCCATAATAAAATCCATTGAAACATCATCCCACACTTGGTGAGGAATAGGTAAGGGTTGGAGCAAACCTGCTGGACTTAAAGCATCGTATTTATTCTGTTGATAGATGCTGCAAGCAGCTACAAATGCCTTGATGTCTTTCTTCATTCCTTCCCAAAACACCACATTCGATATTCGTTTGTATGTCCGAAAAAATCCAGAATGGCCTCCAATCGGTGAAGTATGAAATTCCTGTAATAGCTGATGAATGTGAGGCCCCGATTTCGGTAAAACCAATCGGTTATGGTACATCAAATGGCGTCCTACCAATCTGAAACGAGGGTGACTGTTTGGGTCAATCAAGAGCTGTTGGATAATCTGTCGCAACTTGGCATCTTGTTGTATTGCATCCTCAAGGCTGTCAAGTCCCGAAAAACACCCCATCGAAATAGCATGATACTCAGTTGGCTCGGACATCCTGGAAAGGGCGTCTGCTGCTTTATTCTGTGGTCCCGGTTTATATTGGATAATGAAATTTAGTCCTAATTGTTTGATAACCCACTTTTGTTGACTTTCACTTAGTAATTTCTGGTCGGTTAGGAAATGTAGACTCCGCTAATCTGTCCTGATAACAAAACGTCGACCCAGGAGATAATGCCGCCATTTTTGCACAGCCAATACCACAGCCATTAATTCCCGCTCATAGGCTGACTTTAGTTTTGAATTGATAGACAAACCTTTAATGAGAAATGCAATCGGCCGCCCTTCTTGCATCAGTATTGCCCCTAATCCACTTCCTGAGGCATCTGTCTCGATAACAATCTCTTGAGTGAAATTGGGCATCCTTAGGACAGGAACGCTGGTCATGATGCTTTTTAATTCCTCGAAGGCCTGCTGAGCTGCTGGATTCCAGGCAAAGGAGTCCTTTTTTAAAAGTGCAGTGAGTGGAAGAGCTATCTTACCATAATCGCGAACAAAACGACGGTAGTAGCCTGTCAGCCCCAGAAATCCTCTGAGTGCCCTGATGCCCTTTGGTTCTGGCCATTTAGTGATGCTTTCTATCTTGGTGGGATCAACTGCTACACCCTTGGCAGACACGACATGGCCTAGATATTCCAGCTGAAGTTGCCCGAATTGACACTTCTTTTGATTTACCACCAGCTGATTCTCCAATAACACCTGCAAAATAATACCTAAATGCACTGCATGCTCATCCATCCGCTTACTGTAAATCAGTATATCATTGAAAAACACCAGTAAAATTTTTCTCAAATATGGCCTGAATACATCATTCATAACTACTTGAAACGTTGCTAGTGCGTTGGTAAGGCCGAAAGGCATTACGAGAAACTCATAGTGCCCCTCGTGTGTCCGAAAAGCAGTCTTTGGTGTGTCTCCGGGTTTCACTCTGATTTGATGATATCCGGATTTCAAATCGAGTTTCAAAAATACAGTTGCCCCATCTAACTCATCAAACAGTTCATCGATAGCGGGGATTGGAAACTTATCCGAAACGGTCACCTTGTTAACGGCCCGAT